TCTTATTAATACTTTATTGTCTAGGAACATGTTGAGGGGTACCTAGAACTATCTGCCAAGACAAAGGCCTATTTTACTACTGCGGTTGCTCTTTGGGATGCAGATTTCTATGTCAAAGTTGATGATGACGTCCACGTAAATATAGGTAATGCAGATATAATATTCTTCCTTTTAAAGTTATCTTGTCGATATTTCGAATTTAATCTTACATGAATTCCATCTAGGATAATAAATCTTTGTTTCTCTTTTTTCTTTGCTTTTTTCTTTATGGTGCCTTTTTGCTTGCTTGTCTGGTTAAAGAAATCACCCAGCAGGACAATAACTTTCCCTCTTTTATGCTATTGTTTTAGCTATATTTGGCCCTGTATATATATATATATTTTTTTTTTTTTATTTTTTATTTTTTTTGTGTACTTGTTAGCACATACCAACCATGTATCTTTGTTACGTTTCAATCACCAAAAGGGATAAAAGATTTTTTTGTAGTCTGCTCCGTGTACATGCTTCTTAGAACACTTGCTTAAACGATTTGTGGAAATGAACTGTAGCAACATTAGGAGCAACTCTAGCTTGGCATCGCTCAAAACCAAGGGTGTATATTGGATGCATGAAATCTGGTCCTGTACTTGCTCAAAAGTAAGTATAAACTTCCTAAAAGTTCGTCTCTTTGTAAATACCATGGAGATGCAATTCGCCTTATATTTCTTTCTTGGTTCATTCCTTACTCTTCATTTTTGCCATTTATTAACAGGGGTGTAAGATATCATGAACCGGAGTCCTGGAAATTTGGTGTGCCAGGAAATAAATATTTTCGTCATGCTACAGGACAATTATATGCTATTTCAAAAGATTTGGCTACTTATATATCAATAAACCAGTGAGTGTTAGCTTTCCAGGGATTTTTTGTTTCTTTCTATGCTTCTCTTTATTGTCTTATTGATTTGTAATTTTACTCATCCTAGGCACCTTCTGCACAAGTACGCAAATGAGGATGTTTCACTGGGATCTTGGTTCATTGGATTAGACGTGGAGCATATAGATGACAGGAGATTATGTTGTGGAACACCCCCGGGTAAAATTAACTTACTCTAACTCACCTCCCACCCTTAAAAAAAAAAAAATGAAAAGATAAGAGAAAAACTAAGAAAGAAGGGAAAAAACCCCGAATTCTGAGACATCAGCTTCCAAGAATACTTTGTGTTAAAAGTTTGTCTATATTAGAACAGCTGTATGACTCTTTTAAGGGAATGAATTTTCCAATCTACGAACGTCTTTGGAGAAGATCTCTTTACAGAGGCATATAGTTCACTGCATATCCATCTCATGGATACTAGCCAAACTTGATTATGCCATGGCATACTTTATGTTTGAGATATCGTCCGCAAAACAACCAAATACCTGGCCCTCCACTTGAACTTCAGAATCTACTAGAAGATTCATCATCTTTTTGTTTTTTAACTGTTACCCAACATGTATCCTCTTGCACCTAGATAATCTCAATCCCATACATCCATGTGAGCCATTAGAACTTGTGAACTTTTGTTGTTAGTCAAAATTCTTCACTCAACAAATGTGTACTTTTGTGCTGTTACGGAGCTGCTTGGATCCCGTTGCTGAATCTTGTTGCCTGTCAAATATTCTTCGATCTTCTGGGATGCCAGTGGGCTGAGTTCCTATAATGGTTCTTTCACTCATAGGTTGTAAAGAAATCAGCAGTCGCTATTAAGAAGGAATGCAGACTAAAAATATTTAAATGCTAAGCCTTGTTTGACAATCATTATTTGGGTAAAATGGAGTTTTGAATGGTGATTTTTTGAGAATGTGTGGTTAAAAAGTAGGAAAAAATTTTGGTTTGCGTGTAGAATATTTTATTTTGTGAATGTTTGGTTGAAAATGAATATGTAGAAAAAAGAGTTTTGAAATAATGGTTGTCAAACAAGGGCTAAAATTTGGTGGCCCATCTACCACAAGATAGAGATGCGAAGAAGTTTAAAATCTTATTTCTAACTAAGACTTCATTTTTTATGGGTTTGAAGTCCTTTTTCTCTGTTTTAAGGAATCACTGAATTCTGTCGTAAAAAATAGTAGATTGTATTCAATGAACGGAAGCATTCTTAGCCATGTATTACTCCCAAAAGTAAGAAGAAACAAATAATAGTGTATGATTGCTAATTTCCTTAACTATAATGATTTTACCACAGATTGTGAGTGGAAGGCTCAGGCAGGCAACATCTGTGTTGCTTCCTTCGATTGGAGCTGCAGTGGCATCTGCAATTCTGCCGATAGGATCAAGGAGGTTCACAGACGATGTGGGGAAGGTGAGAAAACTCTGTGGAATGCAACTTTCTGATTTGCATCAATTTCTCCAGTCTCTGGAATTCACAGACTATTTGGGAAAGCCAAGAACACTGTGGTCGTGGAGTGAAATGCATATTTTTGTCCGTCCTCTGGAAGTGTTTTCTTTACACGGCGTTTCAGAGATTTGTACGTTATACTCACCTGCAATGTATATGTGATATAGAGATACTGAGATAGAGATTGAGGTTGCAGTCGAAATCTGCTCCATTGTAACAAAGGAGACAGTTCACTGTATAGCAACCTTATTAGGAGCAATGTAAACAAATATTTTTTGCTATGCTGTAAGATCCATATATTTCTTGATTATTATGACTCAGTGGAACTCATAATAAGTCTGTATTCTTAAGCAAGCTTTTACTGCTTTTACATTATAGTTTCTCTCTCACATGTGAACTTTTTGGAGACGTGTTTCTTTTCATGATTTTTCAAATTTCAACTCATCTGAGGATGAAAGCTTATAACTTTTTACTGATCACAGAAATTTTAATTGGCAATTCCTATTTTTGTTCTTTCACAAAATTTTTGTTTTCATCGGCGTGTTGAACACGTGATGGAAATTATGAACGGCTTAACACAGTACACAACTTTGAGTGAAACATGTGATGGAAATTGAAAATGTCTTAACATAGCGCACAACTTTGAGTGAATGTTTTTCAAAGAAGATTTGACGCGTGAAGAAAATTAAGCTTGTAGGCTCATCCCATATTGAGGAAGGATTCAATTCACACACTAACTGGAAAATATGAGTAATTTGTAAGTTTTTGTACCGAGTGAATGGTTGGTAAGGAAGATTTAATAATACTGACAAAGAAAATTGAGCTTATGGACTCTTCTCATGTGGAAAAAGGTCATAGAACTTCTTTCGATTCACACCGCTAATGAAAGAAAACTTGTTATTTGTGATTTTTTTGGAGGGATTGTGGGGATAACATAATTGGTTTCTGCAGAAGAACATTTTTCTCTGTATCAAACCACACCCTTGCAGGCAAGTCAACATCTCTTGATGGGGGTATCAGATGTAAACAAATGCCTAAAGAGCCGTGTAACATTCCATCCTTGTTTGGTTTAGTTAAAAATCTGTTTTTTAGTAAATTTTAATAAAAGTCGATGAAATATGTGATTGAAAATTGATAAAAATTTTAAATGTCATAAAATGTGTGGTTGAAATGAATTTAAGAAAAATGGACAAATCCAAATTATTCACCAACCTTACTCTCATGATTCCTCTTGTGAAAAAGTTAGCCCACTAATTCTCACTCTTCCCACTCAATCAGCAACCTGTCACCACTCTCTTTCATACTGACCAGAAGAATGGGTATATAATCACATTTGTCTACTGATATAGCCCTCATCAATCCATACAGTTCTCCCATCTCTTCACTTCATACTGTTCATTCTCTCCGGTTCTTGAAAATATGGGATTTCTTGGCAATGATGTTTCCAACCTAAGACTCATAGATTGTTCTCTTAGAATGTTTGTTATTCCTTTGAGTGTTGCATCCATATGGCTAACTGTCACCAACCAGCAAGATAACAGCATCTATGGAAAAGTGGAGTACAGTAATTTCATTGGACTCAAGTAAGAAATATTCACTTCTCTTCTTGTCTTCGATTCATTATCTGTGGATAATTTGTATTTATTATTGTTGAATAAAAATTGTAATTTGAACATCTTTGGACAGGTACATGGTTTGCATCAGTGCTATATCTGCAGGATATGCCCTTTTTGGTGTTGTTTCCTCATGGGTCAGATGCCTAATGACTAAAACATGGCTTTTCTTTGCTTCAGATCAGGTTTTCACTTCCACTTAAAAGATGTTAAATGACACCTCTATTTATTCAAATTTAGTTTTCGACGAACCCTTTTGCAATTTTCTTTGATTGGTGATAATATAACTTGAATTCTATATTTTCATCGGTATCTCATCCTCTAAAAGCTTCCATCTCCATTTGAAAAGACTTGTGAAAAGTCAAAAGTTGCTTTTAAAAATAATAAACTGTTTTTAAACTTGTTAGTATAATTTTCTTGAAGTTTTTTGTAAGATGCCTTTCGAGACTTCTCTTCTACAAGAAGTAGAAACCTGCTAACAAGCCCTAAGAGTTTAATCCGTTAAAGAAAACTTGTTTATTTGTGCAAATTTTAATCTTTCAACAGAAGCAACATTCTTTGGATCTTGATTTTATGGTGGGACATCTTTAAAAGTCTTTCTTGTAGGTCTCACAATAAGAAATCTTTATTAAAAAGCAATAATTTATAAATATTTTCTGTCTTTTTATCCTTATATTGTATGGGTTGTTCATAATCACACAGGTGCTAGCATATTTAATGGTGACATCAATGGCTGCATTGGTGGAGTTTCTTTACTTGGCATATAATGGGGATCCAGAAGTGACATGGAGTGAAGCCTGTGGTTCTTTTGGAAAGTTCTGCAATAGATTAAAAATTGCTTTGGCTCTGTATGTTATAGCAGTTTGTTGTTTCCTTGCATTGGCTGTAATCTCAGCTTATAGGCTCTTTAGGAGATTTGAGCCTCCTTTTGTTCCTTCTAAAGAAGTTGGGCAAGAAATGACTTGAATTTGTCCCTCTTGAGTGTACACTTGCACTAGATGAATGTTATTACCCTTGTTTAGTACTAAAATAAGGTTTCTGTTAAATGTATGTTTGGTATGCTGAATTGGATACGAGACATTACTGAGAAAGAGTAAGAGTTTTGTTAAAGTGTAAGGGCCTGTTATCTTTGCAGTTTTCAACCCGTTTTTTGTTTTCGATTTTTGAAAACAGTGAAAATGCGTTCTCTTTCCTATTTTCGAAAACGCGTTTTTGAAAATGGAAAAAAAAAATTGCACTGAAAACAGAAAATGACTAAAAACACGTTTTGGGAATTTTGAAGTCAAAACACATTAATTTTAGAAAACACGGGAAATGACTTCTCTCCGTTATCCTCTCTCTCTCCCATCTCGCTTACACTGATATTCCATTTCCATAGAAAGACCACAAACCATGAGCACCAATTTTTAATCGAGATAAGGTTTTCTTCTCTCTACTCTCTCAATATCTACAACCCAATCTTGCAGTGCAGAGAAGAGTAGAAAATGCTGTCAATTTATTTGTGAATTGTGAGTAAGTTCAACTCTAAACCCAATAAGAATAAAGAAATTACCCCTCTTTTTATGATTCGTAATTTAATCTTCGGTTTTGGTTTTTTGAATTGAGAATTGTATTGCTATGAGTGCTACACTTCAAGCTTCTTTTGTTTACTAGCCCTCATTCTCGCAATTCAATAATATAGCTTTTTGTCTGAAACCTCGGGTTTCCTTTTTTGCTTCTCTGTTAATTCTATGTAAAAGTAGAAATCATAAGTTCAATTAGAGGTTGTTGATGAGTGATTGGGGGGTGGGTAAGTGTTGTTTTTCGGATTCGGTTGTTCCAATTCGGATGGCTACAAGATCGGGTAATAATGTGTAGGAATTTCATATGTCCAGAATCGGCTGAGCTTGTTGAAGCAGTCCCTGAAGTTTGATGTAATACAGTCAATGGAAGCTTTTTTTATAATTTGTTTAATAAGTTGTTATTTACTTTTTGTTGGTTACTAAATCGGATTCAATCTATACCTTAATTTATTTATTCTTTATTTCCTTCCATTATATTTTGTGATTTTTGTGTTAATATCTGCATCTTTTTTTTGGATATTTTTATTATTGTTTGAGTTTTAGTTAACCTGGGTTCAATGCTAACCCAGGTGATTGTTTTAGTTTTCCAAGTACTGCTGATTGAAACTCTAGTTCAGAACTTTAGATTCATTGAAAGCTATACGTGATGCTGGTTGAAGAGGTTCTCATCTTAGCAAAGCTGGGGAAACCAGGACGTGTCTTTTATGCAATCAAAGACATTGTTATTTGATCTGCCAATTTCTAATATCTTTTAAGTGCTAATTTGGAAAATGCACTTTGTATGGATATAAGTTGTTGCTTCCATCAGCTTTTCACTTCTTTTGACATGCCCTATTGAAGTATACGCTTTAAATTATTTCAGATCGACAAGATACGAGCTGGTGTTCTCGTCAGAACGGGAATGGGTGGTCTAACAGTTTTTTCTGATGGTGTTCAAGCTCTAATAGAAAAAGGTCACAGAAAAATAACTCCATTTTTCATACCTTATGCTATAACAAACATGGGGTCTGCCTTGCTTGGAATTGATCTTGGTTTGATGGGGCCAAACTACTCAATTTCAACTGCTTGTGCTACCTCAAATTATTTCTTCTATGCGGCTGCAAATCACGTTCGTCACTTTGAAGTGAAAATGTCTAGTGCAATACAATTCAGCTGCTGGAGATAACTTTCAAATCTAAAATATTGAGACTTGATGTGCTGTTGACCCCATGAGCTCAAATATGTTAATATCATCTAGATTTTGGTGATGTTCATAAGACTTTTCTTTACCGTAGGATTATGGCGATTCTTTAATGACTTCTTTGTTTCATGTTTACGAAATTAGCTTGAATTTTCTCAATTTCATGTAATTCCCCCGACATTGTATGTCCTGCTTTTGCTCTTGTGTGCGCATTGTAATATTATCCATTTTCAAATTCTAAATCATTTATTCTGTTCACTACAGGAATCTCTCCAACGTTTTATGGGAGGCAATATCCAGCAAGCAGGCCCTTTCGTTATATCAAGGACTTTGGACCAAGAACCTGTAATCTTTTATTGCTCAGTTTGTCTATTTTTATGGATATGGCTACTTTAAAAGGCTCTATCTGGAAATGACTGGTTCCAAACCTATTGGAACAAAAGCCAATCTCGTTCTTGCTGCTGCAACTGGGGCTTGTACTGCTGTTATGTGACAAATTTAATTGGATCTAATTTGGAACCGTTTCCATTTTGACATCTTCCCAATGGACCTAATTTTGGTTTGGACTTGTACCAGTGTCAACCTAAACTTTTAAGTGAAGTTATCAAGCAGGCAAAGAAGTGCATGGCCTAACTCTGTCATGTTGTTGCAGTTTAGGTCCTTCATATCAATAACTATACTAGGAAATTCCACCTGCATTTCTTTATCTTGTTCTTCCATTGAAATATCTTAATTTATCTTCTATATAATTATATGAATGCTCTCTCTCCCTCTCTGTCTCACACACGTGAGCGGGCATACACAAAAGGAATAGAGAAAAACGAATAGAAATTGCATTCTGAGTGTACAATATACTATGATCATGCATTTACAAACACCCCGATTCTTGTCCTCGGCAGACAAATGTTTGTTGCTTAATAAATTGGACCTGATCACATTAGGCTTCAGTGTAAATACTTTGTGCTTAATTCCACCTACTTCGATCTATGACGCTGGTAAAGTAATTAATTGTCAAGCTTGATTCGATATATGGTAATGGGGAGACGTCGCTTAAGGTTGCTAAGCTCACTCCAATGCCTCGATTTCATTTTTTGATTTTGTTGA